CTGCTCCGCAGTCCTGGGTGGGTGTCGTCGCGGACAGAGAGTTCACAGAAACGCGTGCGCCCTTTCTCTGCTGCTTCTCTCTCCCACTGGCTCGCGGGGGCTCCTCCCTGGCGGCTTATTCCAGAATGGGCACGCTGTCCCCCACGGACCTTCCAGCTCGAATCGTTGCCTGCTGCCTTCGTGTCTGGACGGCAGGAAACAGTTTCTGATCTTCCTGCGCGCTCTTTCCCGCAGCTCCTGGAGACACCACTCCGCGGTCTTCCCGGAAAATCTCCTGGAAACGTCAGAAATCACGGATTTCTTCTTGGTGTGGATCACCTGCTCTCTGTCTTTGCTGTGGTGGCTGTATTTTCTTCTTCAGGGATGCCCAGACCTGCACGATGGACCCGCTCTGCTGTGCAAATCTGTCCCCAGCAACGTCCAGCTCTGGGTTCCTTGTCTGCTCTATCTGGGGCACTCTCTCAGGCTTTCCTCCAGCCTCCCACCCTGGGATCCTCTTCCCGGGCCATCTGCAAACCCATGACCCCTTCTGGGATGGTATCTTCCTCATCCGCATTCCCCGGAATCTTGGCGGCTCTTCCTCACCTTTTCCATCGCAGCAGAACCTCGTCTATGATTTCTTGTAACTCTGCTCTGAAACCTTGTTGCCTCATCCCTATTTTTTTAAGACTATGGGGGAAATGGGTGTTTGTGCTGTTCTGCGTCCTGGGGTAACCCTCCCCAGATCTGCCCTCCATGTGCCTTCTGTTGGTTCGCTCTCACACCGGTCCGGGATGGCCACTCCTGCTCCAGACATCGTGGCCGCCGGCCTGCCGGAAAAGCGTGCGGGGAAGCGGCATGGGGAGCCTGGCCTCCAGTGCCTGCTCGCCAGCTCCCCCAGGACAAGCCTCCGCTGGGCGGTCCCTCTGTCCTCAGCATGACCCAGGAGAAAGCAGTTTCCAGTGACATCCGGCCGGCCACAGGACTGCCAGGGACAGATCTGGCGTGATCCTGGCTACACGGCAGATTCCCCTTTGGGGCTCCACCATCCACCTGCCAAGTCTCCTGCCCACCCGTCTGACCAGCTTCTCCTCCAACCCTACCTTCCCCGTCCCTGGGAGGAGAGTAGAGTGGGCACCCCCTCTGCTGCCCACACGCAGCCCCAGGAAGTACCATTCCAGGCCCCGCAGCTTGGCCATTCAGGACAACGCCTCCTTCTCTTAGGAAAGTCTCAACCTGCTACAACCGCTCTGGGCATCTCCCCCCTTCAGGTATCACCAATCTGACAGCCATTCCCTATAGCTAGTGATTCAGGACTGTGACCTTTTTCTGGTTTCAGGGACTTAAATTCTATTTTATTCTCATCTGCTTGGGTTGGTCTCACGGGACAGGAGGTGGGAGGGAGACGAGGAAGGGGTCTGCCTTCTTGCATCAGGAGCCCGACCCTTCTCTCAGCAGTTACTGGGACACCACGACCTCTCCTGAGAGCTCACTCGGTAAACCCGCGTGTCGTCTACAAGCCCGCTCCTGACTCAGGATCGTCTTGGAAACGCAAGCACTCAGTGGGACACGGTTCCTCCAGCTTCTGACCGCTGGGGAGAGCGCGCATCAGTGAACCAGACTGGTTCTAAGCCAGACCATGCTTGGAGGAGAGGCTACCTGGACGCAGCTCTGTCTCACTTCGCTTGACAACGTTCTGTTACCATTGCTTATGCTCAGCGGGTTTCAAACCCAGGGGTTTGGGAGCCTCAGAAACCAGGAGTCTGGCTGGAACACGCTCGGCTGAGCCAGAATTGGTTCCTATGCACCATCGAAAGCCGAAAATAGACCTACAAACGATGAAAACAGTCTGATCGTGTTCTTGGAGGATTTCTCCGGGATGTGACAGGGAGTGTGAAGAAGCAAGCCATATGTGAAGCCTGTTTTCTCCTGTGGCCAAATATTGGACTGAGAAACAGAAACCGGCAGAAGGAAAACTGCAGCGAGCTGGGTCAGCATCGGGAAGAGCCGCCGCCCGGCAGTTCTGCGAGTGGAAAGGCTGAGTCGAGAGCTACGTGACCCGAAGGGTGGTCGCCTCCCCCCAACCCGGCAGGCCCGCGGGGCGGGTCCCAGGGAGCAGGGAGGAGCTGAGCCCGTGACCACCACCAGGGCCGGAAAAGCAGGTGCTCCCCAAACTTGTCCGAAACCTGTTGTCCGGCTGCGTGAGAACACGCGTGCATGTGGGTTTGACCAAGGACGTCCTGTCCGTGGTCTTACAGTTCTGCAAAAAGAGACGTCACAGGGGGTGGCATCCCTGCGGGTCCGCTGCAGGTGAAGTCCTAGCGTGCAGCCGGCCCGTGGCTCTGCAGAGATGGGGGTTCTCCTACAATATGAAGGATGGGGCTGCACGGGGCTTAAAGCCAAGACAGAGTGCGTCGCGGTGCGGTGACGGCCAGGCAGACCCGGAGGCCCATGGGCCTCACCTCAGCCACCATTCTCCCTGTGACCGGAGGATGGACTGGAAATTCAGGCAAGGAGGACATGAAGCCTCTCCCCGCTGCGTGTCACACACTGAGAAAGCCCAGAAGGAAACACCATGAGAGGCTTTTGCTCAGAACCTCAAACAGGACTGAGATTGAATCCCTGGGACGCAGGGCTGCAGGAGGCAACCGCTGTCCCCTCGCAGCTCAGTGACGGCTGGGAGCGGGGCGCAGGCTTGGACTTGTCTGGGGAGCGGCCCGTCCTGCCCCAGGCCAGCGGCCAAGCCTCCCCGTGAGGACGACAGACTATCCAGCGATTGCCGTCCGTATCTGGGCCTAAAAACCAAGCACTGTCCGTTAGAGAAAATCGACCCTTTGCAAGAGTCTTCAAGGGAGGGAGGTTCTAGTAAAACGGGACCTTCAGTGTCCCCCCAGTACCCCCCCACCTCCAGCTCATCCCTTCGCGTCCGCGGATGAGCTCCTGCAGGGGCCGCTCCGGGGCGTGGGGGCCTCACCGGCTCTGGTGGGAAAGGCCGGGAGCTTCTCCTTCCGCACCAGCTGAGTCCCCGCGGCCTGGCTGTCGCCGAAGGTGCCTGCACACATCCACAGCTGGTGGACGTCCCGGCGTCCCGCTGTGTCGCGTCTGCTGCGCTCTCACACGAGACCCTCAGGGCACCTCGGACGGCGGGCGGCTCCCCACCGAGCAACTCCGCAGCACCAGCCGGCCATCCGACAGCGTCACTTGCCTCTGTCCTCCCCCCGGGGACAGCGTCACATCCCACAGGCCGAGGGCCCGGTCTCGCCAGACTGTCCCCGCGTCCCAAGCCATCACGAGCCCAGGCTGTCCTGGCTGCTTCTGACCCGGCTAGAGATTGGAGGCGCCCACGGCCCCCTTCTCCAGTTCCAGTGGTTCGCTGGAGCGGCTCCCGGAGCTCGGGAAGTAGTTCAGCTCCTGATGCAGGTTTGGCATAAAAGGAGAGGATGATGGGGCAGGTGAGCAGCCAGATGGGAGAGGCGTGGGATGAAGCCTGGGAGGGTACAGAGTGCCTGTGCCCTCCCCAGAGGCACCCCCACCCCGCGGCACCCCCGCGTGTTCACCAGCCCAGAACCTCCGTGAACCCTGTGCCATCAGGATCTTCACGGAGGCTCCACCACGTAGGCCTGGTCCGTCCTCGGAGTGGCCCTCTTCCAGCCTCCCCGCACCCTCTCTCCTTCCCATTGTGAGGAGGGTATTTCTTAAGATTTACTGGAGAGACAGAGCAAGTGTGCGAGCAGGGGAGGGACAAAGGACGGAGAATCTCAAGTAGACGCCGCGCTGAGCGAGGAACCCACCGAGGAGCTGGATCCCAGGATCCCGGGATCATGACCTAAGCCAAAGGCAGACGCTTAATGACAGAGCCACCCAGGTGCCCCAGGAGGGTATTAATTTTTAAAATAAGGAAGAAGAAAAACCCTCAAACACATATGAACAGATAAGCAGCATTTCTCTCCACTAAGCTAGCAAGCCTCATGGAGGGTCTCTCCCACATGACGCGTCCCCTGCTCCCTTGTCTACGACACATTAGCGACACCTGCCAGGCGGCTCTGGCTTTCAGATCACTCCTAAGAGGTCCCTCAGGGCAGGCGTCAGGTCTCCGGGACCTCCTTCAGAGACACTTGGCCGGCACCAGCTGCTGACAGGTAAGGCTGCTGGCTTGGCCCCCAATTGCATGGAGACCTTAGTGCATAGCAGGGGTTGTGCCAGGGACCAGGGACATAGCAGCCCACATGCCCTATCGTGGAGCTCACATCCAAGGGGATAAGAAGGACAGCAAACAGACAAGTAAACCTACGTGTCAGTGGTGATGCACAGTTGAAAAGTAAAGCAGGGACAGGGAGACGGGCAGGGGCAGGTGGGCAGGTGCCATCCTGAACAGAGCAGTGAGGGTTAACTCGCCAATAATGTGACATCTAGCCACGAGACAAGGGGCGATGGCGCAGGTTATCAGGGAGAAGGAGGGGGAGTTCTAATAGGACACTGCATGTGCAAAGACCCTGGGGCAGAGGCATGGCCTGGTGTGTTACAGGAATAGTGAGGAGACCTGGGCGGAGGGACGAGAGGACACGGAGCCGAGCAGCCAGCAGCCCGGTGAGGCACAACCTCATGGCCCCCAGCAAGGATGCGGCCAGGACCTGAGAACACGTGGAGCCACGGGAGGTGTTGAACAGGGGGGGACACGGTCTGAGCCAGGTTTGACAGAGCGCAGTGTGGCTGCCCTGGACACAGCCCAGGACAGCTGCTGACAGCTCTGTCCTTTCCCGTGCTTGGCGCACGGTTTGGACTCAACGATGATCAGCTGTTTCAACAGTGACCTCTGGAGTCTGAGATGAGAGAATGAGCAGTCCCCATGTCACCACTGTCGTTCCACCGGGAGGAGGGCAGCGGAGCCCAGGCCGCGCGCGCGGGTGCCCACGCACACCTCGAGGGCAGCACCTGCTCTTCCGCACACTCTCTGCGGACACCCCGTTCCCTGAGAAGCCGCGCGCTCCTCCAGGGCAGAGAGAGAAAGGCACAGGTTTGCATGGAGCTCCTACTTAGCTTTTACTGACCAGAGGGCTGCATCCGGGAGACCCACGGCTCACCACGGGCACCTGGCCTCCAGGCTCCTGCCTCCACAGAGGACACTGCTGCTCACCTGCGGCGGGGGTCTCTGCAAAGCCGCCTCAGGGCCTGTCTCCACAGACCCAGTGAGCTCCACGGAGACAAGCCAGACGACGGCCCCTCCTTGTCCACAGAGGACAGGACACACACAGGCCCGACAACCCACGCACCGTGGACAGAGGGGCTCCCTGCACTGCCCCAAGAGGCTTGGGTACCCGGGGCTCCTCCTCCGGCCAGACCAGGCCCCCCGAGCCCAGAGCACGCTTTTCTCGGTGTTCCCCACGGAACGTGGCTAGAAGCCTCTGGATCGTCAGGCTTGGAGGCACCGGCCACTGGGGTACGAGGAGTGAGCAGCGGGATGCCCCAGCCCACGGTCGCCCTCGGGCCCGGCAGGAGCCCGTGACACGGGCCTAGGAGTGCGGCGCCCGGGGGCCAGCCCGCTTCTCTGTGAAGAAGCTCTTCAGCAGCAGCACCTGGCTGAAGCTGACCACAAACAGGGCGACGGTCTCGCCGACTGACCAGTAGGAGACACGGCTGTTGAGGTCTTCGGCCCGGGCCCGGTCCTGTGCCTCGCGGAGCCGGTAATGCGTCTGCGAGTCGATCACCGTCTTCAGGGCCTCGTGGATGGTCACACAGGCCGACTCCATCTGGGCAGGAAGAGGGAGGAGGTCACACTGGGCGCTGAAACAGGAGGGACGCGTCCACGTGCGGCCACCGCGGCCCCAGGCGAAACACGGGGAGGCCGGCGCTCTGCGTCTGCCTGGTGGAGGGGCAGGGGAAGGAGGGCAGCGGGCCAACAGAAGGCAGGTGAGGCACACGGAGGCCCACCGGGCTCAGGGATGTGTGGGGAGGAGTGCGGGTGGGGGGGCTCACAGTAAAGGCCTCGGGATCAACCCTTCGCTGCCACGGCAGGCTGAGAACCCCACTCTGCAAGGCCTCCGGGAGCCAGGACGCCACGAGGGGCCAGTGGGAGTTGGTCTGAAAGGGGCCGCGCTCTGAGGGGCAAGAGCAGACCCAGGCACGGTCATCCTCGAAATCAGGGGACAGATGGGGACACACGCACGTACATGTGTCTGCACATGTGTGGGCCTACGTACCCACACATGCATTTAGTACGCGTAAATACACACAGACATTGTTTACAAACAAGAGGAAAGGGCCTGTTTGGGTCTCCAGGCTGGAAGTCCACTCTCTGTTTACATCTGTCCCAGGCTCATGCAGAAACTCTGCACACACGGGGCTTACCCGTCGCAGATGCGCCCTGAGCCCTGGGTCCTGGCCACAGGGCTCAGCTGGGTAGGCTGCCCCTCCAGCCTCCTCCCAGGCTCCGGAATCACCACAAACGGAGGGAGGCAAAAGGAGGAGGGAGAGGGAGGACTCCCAAGCCACAAGACATGTCAGGGATGCCACACAAGGCACCATGGTCAAGGCCTGGGTCAGAAGCCAGAGGCCCTAGACAGGCACCAGGGTGCTGGAAAGGGAGCCACAGTGACTGTAAGTCTCAGATAAGATCTGTGCCAGGGAAGGAGGCCCATTCCCAGAGGGCAACAGGCACTAACATGGCCTTCCTGGTGTCCCTCAGGACCTAGTGTGGGCACCACAGGAGACCCAAGGGCGATCACGTGGTGGGATTCACAGACCCCTGGGAGCACCCCGTCCTGTGACAGCAGCCTCCGCCCCACTCACTGGGATCTTCCAATGTCTAACGGGCACCTCCTCGGCCTGTTACAGCATCTGAGCTCAGCAACCCATCCAGCCTGCTCCCCGGGGCCAGGGCATCTAAGAAACAGGTGAGGCCTTCTCGCTGCCCCTTCTTCTGGTGGCGAGAGGCAGAGGGAGAGCAGACAGGGGACAGGAAAGAGAAACCCCCAATTCCTGATCAGTCCCTGCACAAAAGCTCCCCGCCAACCTAGATTTATCACCCGAGGGACAAAAAACTTATGCTAGGCCATCAACCCTCGGGGCGTAGCTGCCGCAGCGGCTCACATTACCAAGCGAACACGCCTTTGGTACTTACGACGCAGATGGAGTGAGCAGAGGGGGCTTGGTAAGGCCTTTCCTCAATGGCACTGCGCACAAGCCTGAGCCAGAACCCAGGAACGCCAGAGCAAGGAGCTGCAGGGATCCCACGGGATGGGCAGGGGCTCAGAGGGGACAGTGTCCTTGAAGACTGAATGTGCAAAGAGGTGAAGCCGACCCTGACCCTCCCAGCCCAGGACCGGGGCCGAGGACAGGCTGACACTGAGTACGGCCGAGACAGGATGAGAAAGGCTGAGCCGGCCCGGGGCTGGCCGATGTCCACTCACCTGCGTGAGAGCTGTGACCCTGTTCCCCATGTCTGGGAGAATGGGGGGCTCGTCACCCACTTGAAAATCAAAGTAGATGGTCTTGTGAGAGAAGGTGGAAAACTCATTACTGAAGCAGAACTGGTAAACGCCCTTGACCTCAGCCCGGTGGGTGAAGCTGTCATACTGCTTCTTGGTCTCCCGGTAGATGGTGTTCCCCAGGGGGTCCTCCACGTAGCAGTCGACATCATAGTGGCCTCCGGTGATGACCTACAACCACAAAGACACCCACAGTCTGCTGTGACCGGCGGGGCAGCCGCTGGTATGAAATGCCAACCAGATACCGTGATCAGACTTGACAAACTTGGTTTTTTTCGTGTAATCTTCACAGCTTTCTAAAGCAGGTGCTAGGACACCTGTTTTACCGGGGAGTAAACTGAGGCTGAGAGAGATCGAGGAAGTCAGCCAGGGTCACGATGCTTCAAAGTGACGGCTAAGATCTGAATCCCTGACTGCCTGACTCCGAAAGGCTTTGTTCTGCAAAGGGGCAAGGAGCTTGATCCTTCCTATTTCACAGAAGAGAAAACTGAGGCTCCCAGCTCAAGCAGGTTGCAAACTGGGGCTAGTGAATGCTTGCGTCACTGCTGATCAAATTCACAGACTCAGTGGCCATCAGAGGTGAGAGGGTCCTTGGGAATTACATAGTTCAAACTCGCTTGAGAAACCGAAGAAACATGTCATACAGCAGGGTCATACAGGTGGTCAGTGGCTACAACCAAGGTCCATCGAGGGACACAGTCAATGGCCTCCATCTGCTTCCAAACTTCGGAAGTTCCTCTTTGTGCAGATGGGAGAATTTACCTAGTGGCCAGTGCCCCGCTGCTGGAGGCGTTTAAACTGTGCTGGCCGTTCCTTGACAAGGGATTCCTGACCTAGCAGTGCCCAGAGGACCTCCCAGGCCCCTCCAGGCTCACAACGGTCGGTTTGCAGTGACTGTGCTGGGGGGCCCGATAACCCGGCCATAATTCATATGCTGTGCCCAGAGAAGTGTAAGCGGCCAAATCGGGGACCCCGAGGCCATCCCACACCGCGCTGTCCCCCAGCAGACCGCTCTTTCGGTGGCTCTGGACAGCGAGGACCCACGGAAGGGCCGCCCTCCTTCCTGAGGCTCAGGCCACTGCATCTCCGGGGTGTCCGAGAGCAGGCAGGCGGCTGTCGTGGGGGTCCTTCCCACTCAGTCCGCCCACCAAACCTCAGGGGCAGACCCCCGCCCCGAGACCCGCTCCCTGCGCGCGCCCGAGTTCCTTGGGAGGAGACTGGATAGCAAGTGGGCAGCATATGGCAGCAGGCTCTGCGCTCACCCAGCGGCCCCCGCAGCCGCGGAGAGGGGCGGGGAAGGAACCCGAAGCCCCCTCCTCCCCGCTGACATATGGGTACACCGGGGACTCCGCGGTCCCACAGGCTTGGGACGAGGCCCGGGGCGCGCCGGCGGCCGGTCCGACCGCGCCCCGGGCCCCGTGCACCTGCGGCGCTCCCCGCCCGGCCCGCCGCTGCCGGCGCCCCTCCGGCCGGCGAGGGGGCGCAGCCCCACCTGGTAGTCCAGGGAGAACTTGGCGCCCCGCTCCACGTCCTCGTGGAAGCACTGCCTGGCGCTGTCGGGCAGCTCGAAGGTGAGCTCGGCGCCCCGCGGTCGCTCGGCCCGCAGCAGCACCAGCAGCAGCAGCAGCGCCGAGGCGGAGCGCGCGCCTGCGCGGCCCATGGCGCTCCGCGGCGGTCGGTGGGTCCCGGCCGGGGGCGGCGGCGGGATGTGCGGCGCGGACGTGGCGCGGCGGCGGCGCTTCCGGGAGGGGCGGGTGGCCTGGTGCGCAGGCGCGCGCGGGGAGCCACCCCGCCCCTTCCCGCCGCGCGTGCGCGCTGTCCGAGCGGGCCGGCCACGCCCCCTTCCCCTGAGGCGCCCGGATCGGGGGCCTCCGTCTGGGGGTGGGAGCCCTGGGCTTGGGTCCGCGGGGTCGGCGTCCCTCCCGAGGGGCCCAGGTCCGCACGCCCACCGTGGCCACCGCCACCGTGAGCCACAGCGGCTGCACCGAGGCCCCGCACCGCCCGGGAGGACCGCACCGGCCCAGGGTGCAGCAGTGGGCGTTCCCGCGGCGCCGGGGCTGCAGGAACCGAGCTTGGGACCCGTCACAGGCCTGCTCCCCGGCCACCCCTCCGCGGGTCAGAGACTGCCGCCGTGCTGGGAGCTGACCCCCGGCTCGCACACCCGCGCTCGCGAGATACCCGGGTCCCACCCTCCGCGATGCACATGTCCGGGGATCAGGACGAGGTGAAGGTTCTCCTGGGGTAAAACCTTCTTTGTTTGCCTTTGACTTCGCAAAAGCCCCGGAAACTGATAAATTGTTTACTGCGTTATCCATGACCGTTGGCCCAGGAAGGTATTTTGTAGAATCATTTATAGGGTTTATATTCTATGATCCGGTAGAAAGAGAAAGAAGACGCTGATTGTGGTCTGGCCGCTCAGTGAAGGACGTTCTCAGGACAGCAGGACCAGACGTGTGTCTCGATTTCAGGGAAGAGCTACACCGCCCATATAGACCCCCACGTGGGCGAGAGGGGCGGGACGGCCTCCAGGCACCTTGGACCAGCATCACGGGCTAAGCAATGTGAAAGCGATCCCTACCGGTAACGTCTGCTAGTATGTCTGGTCAGAGACCAGAGATGGTGTGGAGGGGTGTGCCTTGAGGCTCCTTCCCTGAGTCTATACTGATGAACACTGTCTCTTAGTTCCTGGCTTAAGAAAACAGGTAAGACGCACCAGGGGAAGCAACAAATGACAGATGTAAGACCAAGCAAGATGAGCGTGGCCAGCTGCAGTGCTAAGCTAAGACTAACAAAAAGGAATTTTGCTGGGTTTACTGTTAAGTCCCATGTTTAAGTTCCAAGAAAACACCTGCTTCAGTTCCGAGATGGGAAGCCCGACTTGGCAGTCGCTCAAGTCAGAACGCTGGAAGACGGATCATGGACAGGTATCAGGATGTCAGACGGCGGAAGTGGAAGAACTAGAAAAGGAGCCCTGACTTGCATGGGGTTATGAAAGGAATGGCAGTGTTTCAGCACCTGCTCCGTGGAAGGCGCCATTACTGGAGGTATGATCAGAGCACACGTGTCGTACTACTTTAGGAGAGATGGTAATAAAGTGGGGGGTGGTGGTAATTAGGAAGGGGCCGGTATAGTAAATGGCCAGGAAGGTTTCTCAAACCAGGTAAAGTCAAAGGACATGGGATTTAACCTCAAAGAATAAAATCTAAGGGTGAAGAAAGTGTTAACTTCAAAAGTTGGCATTAACAGCAAGCATGAGAGCTGCCTCTTACTTAGCACCTACAGTGTCCCCACAGCAGCACTGGCGATGTATGCACTTTATGTATTTTGCATTAATTAATCCTCACTAGCAACCGTGTAAAAAAAAAGTATTTTTTTTTTCCTTTGACAATAAAGACACAGAAGATGTGTAATGAAATCATGTTCCTGCTTCTGCTCGGCCTTTGCTGGACGACAAACTACCCGGTGGTGTACACCGGCCGTGACTTACAACGTCTCATGGTTCTATCAGTTGGCTGGACAGTTCTTCAGCTGGAGGGTCCCCTGGGCTGGAGGTCCATGATGGTCCTACTCTCACGTGTGCCGGCTGCTGGGAGCTGTTGGCTAGAGCGCTCAGCCCTCCACACATCCTGCGGCTTCTTGCAATGTAGATTTCCGTGTGTGGCAGATGTGGGGCACCATCCCAAGACAGCAGGGCAGAAACAGAAACTACCCTCCAGTATCACTTTTGCCCCGTTCTGTTAGCCAAGCAAGTCCCAAGGCCAGCCCAGATTGAAGGTAGAGAATTAACACTCCAGCTCTGGATGGGAGGAGCTCTAAGTCACATTCAGAGGAGGAGGACGCTGGATGGCAAGAGTTCATGGCCATTAAACAAATTGTCATATTTCCCAGACTTACTCAGCTTGTTAATGGGGAAGCCAGCAAATGAGCCCGGATCTGCCTGATGTAGTGGCAACATGATTTCCACGAGCACACTGTGTCCACCCATACTTCGGGGTGCATCTGTCCTGCACGTCCCATCTCGTGTAAGTCGGGGCAATGCATGAATCTGACAGTAAGGGACATTTTGACTCAATATAAGAAAGGACTTTCTGGCAATTAGGGCTTTCCAAAAAGTTATGAATGGGGTACTGATTTTTTTGTCATCATTAAAATATTTAAACAGAGACTGGAGAAACAACCAATTCATATGGTGTCCCAAGTAAACGAAAAGCCAACTCTAACTAGATTAAATGGCACAGGATACCTTATCTCGTGTAACAGAAAGTGGTTAGGTGATGCAGACTGCAGGCATAACGTGATCAAGGCTCCAATCCTTCTTCCTCTGAGCTCTACCCTCCTCTTCATGTTGGCTTTATCCTTAGACTCTGTTCTCTCTTTGTCAAAAGGGGGTTGTCAACCCAAACAAATGAGTTTTGGGGCAACATGTTTGTTTGGTCATGTCTAGTGGAAGGAAGAGAAAATCTTTCAGCCATGAGGTGTATGTCCTTTCCTTCAGTCCAATTGGTCCGATTAGGCCATGCAGCCATCTCTGGACCTAGGGCAGTGATGAGGCAGCTGGTGGTGGCTGGCTTAGGCTAGATCCTTACCCAAGCTCTGATAAGGAGAATGGACATGTCATGATTAACTCAGACCAGTCAGGACTTGCCTTGGAGGGAGCTGGGGACAGAGCAGCTTTGCTCCAGTCAAAAGAGAGGCAAGGATATCGAGTGACTATGTGAGCAAAATCAGGATCTAACAGGAAGGAGGAGAAGGCAGAAATCAAACCAGATAGGCAACCAAGAGTGCCGACCGTGGCAAAAAAAAAAAAAAAAAAAAAAAAAAAAAATTGAATACTTTTAAATTCTAATGGGATAATTAATTAATTTAGACCCTTACCTTTTACCATATGAGAAATCCTCCTTCCTCTAAATCAGGAGTGTCTGTGATTCTGGGTCCTCCCAGGTGAGGCACAAGACTCCAGAATGGAGATCCCCGGGGCTCTTCCTCCACGGGCTGTTGCTCTTGGCTGGTTCACACTGGCAGGACCTTGACCTCGTTGGTCCTTTCATTCCCTCTCCCATCCTATTCCTCTTCCTTCCCCATCCTTTCCCATAATGTTGACCCTTTTCTCTAGTGGGTGGCGCTCCATGTTTACTGTAGGATTTCAAGCCCCTTCCACAGTTAGCCAGCCGGTGTCGGATCTGTGGACTTGATCTGGTATTAGCACAGCTGCAAAACAGTGGCCTCTGTCTTGTGTCCTGAAGTCTGTTCTTTACTCTTGATGATCTCCCCCCGGCAAATTCCAAGTGTGATGTGGGTTTTTTCCTTCCTACGCGGTGCACATCATGGGCTATAGGACTGCTATCGATCTCATTTCATTACCATTGAATGTAAGAAGCATCATGCTTCTTTACTTTTATAAATCAATCTAAAATGGGTCTTGTCCCCCCCCCCCCCCCCCCCCACCGACCTTAACACAGACAATAAGAATGTCCATCTCGGTCTCGGAGGAACTCTCCGGCCCTGTTCCTTGGCAGTACCCTCAGCGCACAGCATTCGGGCTCACTGCCATGCTGACGTGTGTGCACCGTCCGAGCTGCCGTGTTCCTTTTGGGCAGGCAGCTCTGATGTCCTCCTGCCCAGCCTGACCCTCGCCTCCTGGGACGCACCATGCAGCCTCTCCCCTCCATAGTTTTGCTCTGGGAGGAGGCAGGTTCCACTCAAGGGACCCCAAGTTTCTGACCTTCTGTCAGTCTTGGGAGTGCACCCTTCCCCTCCAGGTGGACTCCTGTGGCCTCAACCCCCATCACTTCTCCCCCATCAGTCCCATCAGCTTCTCCTCCCCCTCCCCCAGTAGGGTCCCTCATAATCTCTCCTCTAGGGGTTCAGAAACAATAGGGACCTACCTTTCCTGAAGACAGAGGGGGAAGAGACATACTGAAACTAGTCCTTTTCCTTTTTTCTTTTTGTTAACCTAAGTCATTCCAGTCGCCCAAGGGAGAACCTAAAGGTACGGTTTGCACTGGATCAGGGTGCGGATGAATGTGAGTCACAGATCCCTGACTCTAAGAGACGAGGGCCCGTCCACGTGATACCTATGCCCTGTCCTCGAGCAGGAGCGTATGTTAATGCTCATCGGCGTTAGACCTTGGACCCAAGGAGGGAGGCCCCGTGACTGCAGCGTGTGGCAGGCGTAGTCCCCTCCCCACTCAGGAAACCCAAGCAGAGGGGGGCAGGGTACAAGAGACCCTCCTCTCGCCGTGGAAATGCACCTTCTCATCCTCTGCCTCTTGTTTAACCAAGAGAGAAACCATAATACTTGTGTAAGTAGAAATTAATTTGTAAAATTATGTGTGCATGAAATTGGGGTGTCTGCTAAGGCTGATACACGTCAACCCCGTCATAAGGAAAAGGTGATATTTATCATGGAGATTTCGCTACAAAAAAGGGCGTGCTATTGAAGGATTGCCATATATCTTTTATTGACATGTTAGAAATCTCTAGACGGTTCCGTTACTTGCATGTGGACACGTCTCTGAGCTCGCCGTCAGCTTGAGACTAGAGTCCAACGCCACAGAGAACCAGTTCAAGCAGGAGGAGGAGTTCAAGGGGAAGGGTCAGACACAGCCTGCCCTTGGCAGGACACGTTTACCTGATGAAATTCTAAGAGACTCTACGACAGGTCTAAATAAACAAACAGAAACCGGCTTCGGGGTGTCTAGAAGCTAAACCAAAGTTCCAGACTTTTAAACTTCAGGCTCCTGTTCTAGAATATATTTTGACAAGCGTTCCAGAAAGTCTTAACTACAGTCTGCAGCTAACTCCGGTAGCGACACTAGGATTCGGAAAAGAGAAGCGCCTCTCGGATCTAGAAAGCACGGTGGAATCTGAAATGTGTGTTTTAGAAGCATCCTTGTGCGGTTCGTTGATGTGGACAAAATCGCTTTTTTCTGCACTGACCGTGAGGAAGTGTTGTGGTCATACTAGTTTGGAACCCAGCCTAATGCAGCGAATGCATCGTCCAACAGGGATGGAGGACGTACCGTCTGGAGAAAGGCCAATGGACGGGTCACCAGGGACGGAGGCAGGCCAGGAGTCCCCGCTGCTCCTGCTGTGGGCATGCGTGGGACGGACGGGCTATTCCGGATCTACTAGCAGAGTCTAGCTTTCGCTGGCAGTGAGGACAGTGGTGAGTGTGGGGGGTGGGAGGAGTTAATGAGCTGCTGAGAACAAGGGATGTCCGTATGAGTCTCTCTAAAGTGTGGGAATGTGTCCTTGCCTGCAGTCACGTCCATTTGGTAAGAACTGTTCGTGACTCAGTGGTCCCAGAAGCTTATGCATTATTCACCCTAAGCCAAGTTTGTGAGCCCTAGGTTTTCACTAGCTTACGTGCTTTTCCTCCCTCCCCGCAAAGTACAAAAGGGCACCAGCACTCCCACAGGTGTGTTTGCCAAGAACCCCGAGGGCCCGAGTTATGGACCAATCCATCAGTCATCCTACTAAAGCAGAATTAGATTGGCTTCAGGTCGGTGGGAGGGCTGACGCGCCAGACCCACACCTCTGTGCGGCTTTGCTGGTCGTGACCGGTTTCTGCCAGGCACGCTGTCCTCCTCCCGGAGCCGCGGTGGTCAGCCGAGGCAGTGTGGGCCCAGGAGATGTCTGGCCACGTCTGGAGACGTTTCTGGCGGTCGCAACATGGAGGAAGGTGCTACTGGTGTCTGGTGGGCAGAGGGCAGGGCTGCCGCTGAGCCTCCTGCCGCACAAGGACAGCCCCCACGGCAAAGCCTCACCCAACCTAAAGCTTCAGCAGTGCGGGGGGCTGAGGACGGACGGGCCCGCCCGGAAGGAATGATGAAAAAGTAAACATTCGGTTTACCTGTAAGCATCGTCCGTGCTTCTGCTTGGGGTGCTCAGACAACCGCCTAGCAGATGTCGTGATGGAAATGCTGTGACACGGAGAGCCGACGTGGCGGAAGGCATTTTCCTCGACGAGTGTGCCGACGGCTCGGTACCACGGCACCCCCGGGGGTCTCAAGGAGACCCTGGAGTTCCTCAGCAGCACTGAAATCCATTTCGTGCAGAATATTATGTATTATCTGAGATGTGGGAGCTTCAGCACTCTGAAGGTGTCAGTCAGAGTGAGCTCCTCCCGTCCAGTCACTGGTCCGTGCCAGGCCCAGCAGCAGGCCCGTCCTTCCCCCTCACCCTTTCAAGGAAGACCACTGCCAAGCCCGTTTTGCCCATGAGGGAGTGGAGGCTTCAAGAAGTCACAGAGCTAGTAAATGATGAAAACAGGGTGCAAACCCCAATCTCGGAGTCTTTACTCACTCCTCTGTGGGACGCAACCCCCAGGGACCACTGCATTCTGCTAACCCTGGAGCCAGCGTATCTGGGCAGCAGGAGAGGAAGATGACTGGGAGGTAACCAGGAGCCCTCACGCGACATGTGCCTCCAGCACTGCAGATGTGCCGAGCGTCTGCCTCCCTTCTCGGCTGGGGCAATGTGGCTGGAAAGGGTCGTTCCGGTCATTTCTACAAACCTCCCAGCATGGGGATAGTTCAGACACAGCAGAAACCGGAATTTTCTTCAATTACCCGGACAGCAGCAGCCGAAAGGACGGCCGGCACCCCTTCCCCTGTTCAGGCTACAGAACTCAAGGCCGTCCCACGGCTCCGGCCTGAGAAGCACCGCCTGTGCTCTTACCCCATGCCTGTCCCACCGTTATTATCGTCCTGGCTTTGGGGAGTCTCATCAAGTTTTCTCAAGAACAAGCAAGAAAAAGGTCTGTTCTGGAAATTGTATCACATTCAACTCCAAATTCATTAACAGCCCCCGCAAGATTTCAACACAGAGCTAGTGTCAGGGCAAGGGGCAGGCCGCATCTCTGAGGTGCCCCCCAAGGACGGCCCATCGGGATTCAGGGGACACATAGCTGGGGACCCGCTACACACCTGCAGGTGTGCATGAACACAGGTGTGACGGGGGCGGGAAGGGTCTGGGGCTCCGGGTGCTGGGCAGCGCCCACCTGCGGGGCCTCTCTGAGTTGGGGAGCTCCGCTTCTGCTGCTTGGAAGGGAACACAGCTGCGGGATTTCCCAGCTCCGGGCGCACTGAGCTCCTGCACATCCCGACAAATGTGAAAGCCTCATCGTCTCTGTAGGCACTTTATAGATGGATTACCGAGGGCGTGATCCAAATACCGTCTCGGGACTCCGTTCTTGCCTGCCTGGTGGGGGGGAGCTGGGGTCGGGGGCCAGGATCATTGTACTTGCTGCTGTTCCTTCCCAACCCCGAAGGGAGAACCGTGGGGAATTTTTTGGTTTCGGTGATTTCGTGTCTCGAACCCAATTACCCTGAGCTCTTTGCAGGGAAAACTGCATAAACCCAGAGACCACTTCCGCAGGGAAGCAGCGCCCGGCTCCGTCCCTGCCACCAGCACGGAGGGACCCACGGGACGCACGGCTGTGTTGCTCTAGACGAGGGTGCCTTCCAGTAACTGCGCAGAGTTCTGTGGTTTACAGCCTGCCGGGCGCTGCTAGGTGACGGTCTGCTCGAAGTCTGACAGCTGCCTCATCTGCTCGGCCTGCATGGAGTGTCTCCGCAGGAGCGCCCGTCTGCTTCTCAAGTCTGCTCTCTTCGGTGAACTGGGCGCAATGGGAACCATGGATTTTAAGCCGCTCGCGAGTGGAGAAGACGGTTTGCTGCTGGATCTGATGTCAGGGATAGGTGGGTTCCCACTGACGTTTAAAGGCGGCAGGAAGCCGGGCCTGGTGTGCGAAATTCGGTCCAGCAGCAGAGTTCCAGAACCTCGCCTTTCCAGGAGAGGCGGCGGCCGGCGGCGCGCCGAGCTGGGGGACGTGCTGGGCTTGGCGTCCAGGGACTCCCGCGAGCCATGGAAGAGAGCCAGGAGGGAGCCATCGAGCCTCTTCCTGTCCAAGGGCCCTTTGCTCGATTCCAGGGAGACCGAGCTGAGCTGGTCGGCCCCAGCCTGTAAATCTAAGTCGTGCAAATCACTCTCCAGCCGCTTGAGGGACACGGGATCTTTGAGAGCAGGGGGGCCTGCTGGACCGATACCCACCTTGTCCTGGTCGATGGGTAGAGTTCCTCTCCGGGCCAGACGGGGGTGGGAAGCCTGACCCTTCTCATGGGCGGCCTTCCAGGATGCTGGTCCTGGGGAGGCCATGATCTTCTGCACCTGCTCGGCAACGGTGGGGAAGAAGGTGGGGTCTTTGCCATCGATGCTGCTGGTTCTGGAGAGCGGCCCCCTCTTGGGGAAGGACACATCGCTAAGGCTCTTGATGACCTCACTGTCCGGGCTGGGGCCGTGGGTCTCGTCCTGACGTGCGCCGGCCGCCAGCACGGACGGCGCACTCAGGCCCCAGGGTTCGGACCGCAGCCTCTTCAGCTGGGGCAGGCGGGCCCGCTTGAGGTTCGCCACTTTCCTGAGGGGCGACCCAGGCTCGTTGAGAGCCTTGGCCATGTTGCAGGCACTCAGACTCCCTGACTGGAGGCTGAAGAAGTCCTCCTCCCTCTCCGTGGGTGGGGCGCCCCGACCTGGAGCCTTCAGTTCAATGTCCGAGGGGGACGTGCACAGTGGCGGGGACTGGCGGTCTTTCCCTCCGGGCGAAGGAGGGACGTTGAGATACTGCTTGGTGGTTTTGGTGCCTGACGATGACTTCGCGGTTGTTATGATGATCACGTCCTTCCCTTTGGCTTTGCAGGCATCCAGCAGGTGCCTCAGGGCGTCCTTGTCATCGGCGTTGATGGCGTAGACCAGGGCCGAAGCCCCTGTGCGGTCCTCGAGGCTGGGGTCCGCGCCGTTCTCCAGAAGCAGGGACACCACGTCGCCCCCCGCCCTCCGGATGCAGGCGTGGATGAGCGCCGTCTTGCCGGACTTGTCCTGGATGTTGGGGTCTGCCCTCTGGTCCAGCAGGTACTTCACCATCCTGGGCCTGCTGGTGCTCTGCTGGTCCACGTGCTGGGTGATGCACGCCACCATGAGGGCCGTCTCCCCTTTGTCGTTGCTCTCGTTGATGTAAGCGCCCCCTTCCAGGAGGAGCCTGGTCAGCCTGAGCCTCCCCAGCCACACCGCCTTCAGGAGGGAGTTCCCATCCGTCCTCAGCTCCGTGTCGTTGTCCATCATCCCAGCCTCGGCAGTGCCTCCAGGCCACCACGGCGATCAGACCTAGCGAGGGAGAAGGGAGAGGGATGACGTGTGCTCTGCAGGCGGCCAGAGTGCTGTGGCTAGTGCGGGGCCGCGTGCCGCTGGATCCCACCAGGTTACCCAGCTCATCCGCATCCGTCTGTCGTGTGTGGGGGGTCGGGGGACAGTGGCCGCCCCTCACAGAGCCAGCACAGAGGTCGAACGAGAGCACATACAAGAACCCCTCCCCACGGCGAAGCCGCAGACACAAGCCCAGCACGTGGTAAGCAAGACAGATGGCCGTCACTTACCTCAAATGTCGTGGAGGAAACCACAATTCGTGCCCGTGGGCCACGCTGGCTTCCCCACACGGAAAGGCCCATGTCTGCCTGGTTCGCTGCCGCAGCCCCAGCATCAAGCAGCGAGGCTGCCTCTCAGGTCACCTTGTATATAATTGTTCACCCCATTCTTCTTCCAGCAGGAAACACGCCAGAATGGTCATAGAGTGATGGACGGTTTTCATCTCTTTGCCGTACTTCCTGACATAAGCATGCGTAATTACTGTAAGAGGGGAGAAATCAGGGGGAAAAAATCATCATAAAGCAAAACCAATCTCGCTACCCCCATCCGGGTTGTAGTCTCTACTTTTCCAGCAGGTGTCAGATTCCCATCGTCCCCCTGGTCTTCCAGAATGATGCTGCACCACTTCCCCCCCGCCCCGGGAACAGGTGCAGGGCAGAGGATAGGCGGGATCACACGCCTGCCCACACCAGAGCGTCCGCGGCTGAGCCCTGCCAAACCTGGCCCCGTGTCCCTCCCTGAGTTCCTGCACCCAGAGCCCCCAAACCCGTGTCGCTGGAGAGGCCGTCTGCGGATGAGGAGAGGTGGCCCCCCCCCGGGCCCACGTCTGTGCCAGCACAGCCCCTCCACGGGGACTCCGTCCCCCAGGCTCCTGCTGAGCTAACGGTCCTGGCTCCCCACCTAAGGCACATCTTTCCTCCCCCGACCCACTGCCCTGAGCCGTTTCTGATCAGTTTATGACCCTCTGTTAAATGGGAAGTCAGAAGCCTTCCTTGGCCGAGGTTGACAGACGGACCCATACCCTTTATCAGTCTCTAATACGTTAACAGGTACTTGCAACTTTCTTAAAAGCCCAAACCACACTTAAGGCTGCAACAAAGAAGAGCTCTCCTCGTACGCGCACACACGCACGTGCATGGCACGAGCACGCACACACACACACGCCTCTGGGAAGCCACTCCCTTCAGAGAATTGACTGTGGTTAACCGTCCAGTGTCCCTCTGCTTCCAACAACGCTTTGTCCTGAGAGCTATATCTCAGGGGGTCGTGCTGCAGGTGTGTTCGTGGTCCCCCAAGATCTTCTGTAGAAACGCTCCCGCCCAGGGACACCGCATGGCCGCTCTCTCCCCGTCTCTGTGCCTCCTCCTTCGGGCTCCTACTGTGTGTGTGCACGTGGGTGTGCGTGTGTGGGTGTGTGTGCGCGTGAGGTATGGCCTTTTTCTTCTTTTTCCACCATCCCCTATAAGAAGGGCCTGATAAGGATCTATAAAAAGGACCTATAATAAGATCCCTTTAGGAAGGTCTCTGGGTTAGGTGTGTGCGTCCCCGCACGCTGGACATAATGAAGCAGGTTCCACGCCACAAATAAAGGAGAGCGAGTGAGCAGCGAAAACACGGCCTCCTGCTCCCTCAGAGGCCCCTGGTCCCCAGCCCAGCCCCCCAGGTCCCCCGCTGTTGCTCCGTCCCCTGTGCACACCGTCTCCCTCAGATGCCCGCATGTTCGTCCCTTTCGGCACCCCTCGTGCTCCTAACTGCAAGGTCTCCCCGTTCTTCGTTCCTGACTCATCGTCCCGCAGACCTCGGCTCAGATGCAACTTCCTTTTTAATCAAGAGGAGAATCACTCAAGACTGAAGCGGGAGGGCAGAGGGAGATGACAGCTGACTCAGACGCGGGCTATATAAAGAACTCCCACAGATCACTTCCTCCGAAAGAGGACCCACAAACCGCCAACAAGCACATAAAAAGGTGCTGAGCCTCATTAGTAGGCAGAGAAAATCAAATTAAGGCACAACGAGAGACCACTACACATGCTGTGTAATCCGACGCGGCTAAAATTAGACCAGTGGCTCCGAGACCAGGGTCGGACCAGGATTCAAGGCGGCAGGAACCCACTGGTGGGGCCAAAACCAGCCTCTGCCCCAGTCACTCCGCGCGGGCTTCGTCTGCCGTTGACTGAGAAGCGCGGCCACGACGTCCTCCCTCCCCAGCACACACCTGCGAAGACCCTCGCCCCTCCTCCATGCAGACCTGCCTTGACCAAGAAAGCGCAGCCAGGGTGGCCGTGTGTGACTTGCAAGGCCCCTGTGGACCTTCGTTTGCTGCCTGTAAAGACATTCGGGGTGCCCCGCCAGCAGGGACACACGGAGTCCCAGCGGGCCAGCCCCAATGACCGCCTCAGTGTGAGCGAAGCCGCCTGGACCAGCCGGCCCCCAGCTGGTCACCCCTGCGGGAAGGAACGCAGGTGAGGCTGGCAGAAGTTTCCAGAGCCTGGTCCGCATTGCAGAAACACGCACAAATAACTGATTACTGTTCGAAGTCACTCGTTTTGGGGTGATTCGTTCATATCAATAAATTACCAGTAAATCTGTGTAGCCAAACGTGTACAGAAACGTTCCCAGCAGCACAATTCAAAAAATGCAAAATCTAGCCACAGCCCACCAAGAAGAAAATAAAGTGTAGTATATGCACAGCTGTAATGCTTGCACTATCTTTCCTTCTCTCTTCCTCACACTCACACAGCACCCAGACGCACACCCCACACACAGCACACACACGACCCACACTCACCGTCGCAGTCACACACACTACACGACACAAGAAAAACCGGACACGGCATCTCCCGGGCTCCTTGACGCTTTGCAACCTTCTCCATTGAGCATCGACGTGTTAATCTCCTGGGTCGGCCTCCTTGAACCCCGAGGCAGGGACGCGGTCTTCTCTCCCTCATCAGCTGTGTCATAATTAGAAGGAGGATCAAGGAAGATTCAGGGGAAAGGAACAAGAGAGAGGAAAAGGAGGACGGGACGGGCATGAGGATGGACTGTGGTGTTATCTCTCTGAGTCGCGTGTGGGGCACATTGCATCCCTCCAGACTCCTTCAAGGTCCGGGGCAGGGAGGGAAGGAGGCTGGAAGGGAGGGAAAGGGGGAAGGGCCAGAGGGGACAGGACGGCATCTCTGGGAGATGCTTCTCTCCCTGAACTTGGGATCAGCGGCCCCCTGCTCCCCTGAGCTCAGGCCTTGTCCCAAAACCCAGCATCTAAGGAGAGAACAGAATGCAGACGGGGCGTGCTGGCAGTTTGCAGCCCATCTGAGGGTACGACTCTGTGTGTAGGGAGCATTTTCCATACCATCCACAGCCACGTTTTCACTGTGTGCCTCCCAACTGACATTCCTGAATGACAAAAGTGCAAGAGCTCTGAGTGAGGACAGACTCAGACCCTCGGCTCACCCCCACGGTGGGTGACAACAGCCTGCTGTTCATTTTCTGCATCCCCCAGACTGACGCGGTCATGTCGACCTGCCCATCTCAGGTGTTGGCCTCCCGCCTGTCTCTTTGGCCCGAGTGGCCTCGGCAGGGCTTGTCCCTTTCCCACGTCGTTGGTCAGGTCAGTGCTTGCTACAGGTGACAGGTGGCCTGAGGCCCACAGCCGGTTTCAACGGGCCAGGAGCAGCAGCTTCCCTGAGGCCACTGGGTGCAGACACGTGGGCGCGTTAACCCTTTCTAGAGCAGATGCTGACTAAAGGGAGGTGGTGGGAAACAGACGTCAGGACACCTCCTCTCCCTGCTGTTGGTGGGCTTCAAGGATTTTGGGACAGGGGATGCCGTAGAGGACATGCCTTCCACGAAACAGAGCTGCGGGCGCTTGCTGTCAGGCCGTGGCTGGCTGCGTGTCCCCTTGTACCTGCTCCTCCTCGTTCTCTCTCCACCTTTCACTGCCCTCACTCCTACTCCCCAGGGCGTTATCTCCCCATAAAGTGCTGATACACTGACATGCTTGTATGGATGAAGCTTGAGTATAGTAACGCAGACCACGTCAGACACACTGGCGTTACCAGCCCATTCATCCTTCGTTCACCATCGCACATAGACTGAGTGCCGGGCATTAAGGACAAAGAGTGTAGAAGTCGGGCTCGGAAGGGTCTGGCTGGAAGCTGGAGGTCACCTAGGAGCCTCTGAGGGAGGATGAGGGTCAGGAGCACCAGTGGGACAAGGCTGAGAGGAGCCTCAGCCTGGAGAGGTGCTCCGAAGGCAGCAGTGAATAGTGACCTACGGGAGCGCGGGAGCCAACCGAGGTCTGACTGACTTTGATTTGGGAATTGATCTCCTTATGTGCATGGCAGAGAACGAATATTAGGGACAGGGACACCTAACACAGGGAGGATGAGACGCCTTTCATGGTTCCTCCGCCTGTCAGAGGGAAGGAGGCTCCTGAATTTTGAAACCCCAAGCACTTGGCACGAGGCACCATGTTTTAAAATTAGCAACCCCAGAGTGGGTCCCCCCCCAACGTGTTTCAGAAACAGAGTTAAGAAGTTTAGAAACAGAGTTAAGTTTTGCTCACTGAGACGTGAGCAAAATTCGCCTGGTTCCTTCCCCGTGGTCTGTCCTCCCTGCCCCTCAGCCCACCCTTCTCCCGTTCACTCCTCAGGGCTGTTTTCCGTCTCCCTCAGAAACGAGGCCACCACAGTTGGGTGAACACACCTTCCAAAGGCACAGGGACTGACTGGATGAGAAACCCCGGGAACTAAAACATCACCAACACCAAAAAAAAAAAAAGAAAAAGATGTTCTCTCTGTTGGAGGGGTGGGTGGGTGGAAGTGGTTGCCCTTTCTTGGCCCAGAAACTGCTGGATTCTTTTACTGTCCACGAAACTATTAAAGTCTAATATTTTTGAAGCTGGGAGGAGGCATCTTGTCCAATGGTTCCCAGTTTAGAAACGGGATTTAAAGACAGACAGTCTTTCATCTTGCCGAGTTCAGGCTCTCTCCCTCCGGTGCCTCCCATACCTGCAGCCTGAGTGACGTCGGTCAAGGTTGCCCAGTAAAGGACCGAGGGCCAGATGTGGCTCCCAGGGTCGCCTTGCTTGACTGGCACAGTGTTTTAATTTTTAAAATTTGAATGTTTTAGGATGCATCATTTATTGTTCAGTTTGGCAAAGGCCTTGCCATTCTCTGTCATCCTATGACGGGCCTGATTCCTATGCTCAGGCTAATTCCGTGGCCTCTGCAGGGATGCGGTTTAGGACACTAGGCATAAAAGTAAAACGAACTTGGAATTCAAGTCAGGATGCTCTGTCTTCATTCTTTCCCTCACCCCCTAGCTTCTTACCTCTACAGTTTTGTTAGAAGCATCCAGTGAGCTAAAAGATGGAGAAACGCTTTTCATAAACTTCAAAGTACGGTGTGCTTCTGTGAGCCATCGCAACAATGAGTTCGGTGCCACGAAAATCCCATCTGCTTTCTCTCGTCTTCCTCGAGGCACCTTGGCACGGGATTTCCCGTTAAACTTCCTTTGTTAGGCAGCACGGTAAATCAGAGGTTCTTTTCAAGACTGTTTCCTGAAGGAAAAATTGTGCAAAAGTAGGAGGGCCAGCAGACTCCTGCAAACACCTACAAAGCGGTTCCTATCCCCGAGAAAGACACTGGTCATACACAGTACTTCATAGTGACCCACAGCAAGCCTCTAGGACTCTAGAGTACAGGTGCTGTATATTCGTCTTACTTCTGGTTATGGCCTGAATCTTGTTCCTTACCTACTTTCTCAGCTTCCTCTCTCCTTCTCCTCCCCCTCCTTCCCCTTCTTCCTCTTCTTCCTCTACCTCCTCCTCCTCCTCCTTCTTTCTCCTCTTCTTCTCCTCCTTCTCCTGTGGTTCAAGGACATGTTCTACACATGCAGATTCAACAAAATAAGCTTATGGCTGTTCTTATGTTTGTACACATCAGTCTGCCCACAGTTATATCTTAATGAATCTCAGCTCCTTCCGATGTGTCAAACTGACATCTTGTGGATCTTTATAAATTGCCCAAAAGTCCTTGTGGAACAAAAGAAAACACAATCGATGAGTATGTATGCGGTTGATCTACATGAACTTGCTGTTTCCATAGATCAAACAGTGGCTTACAAAATCATTTTCACCTGGTTAGACCTGATACTTAGAGGGCTTCTCTCCATGCCCTGTAGGTCTGTAACCGCTCCACGATCCTAGCCCCTGAGGACGTACAGCTGCGGCAGAAAGACTGCAGAGCAGAGAGGCAGGCGGCCTGGATTAGGAAGGCAGTCCTGCTGCTAGGTGGCTGTGTGACTCCCCCAAGCGTCGTTTTGCCACACGCATAGAAGAACTCCAACCCCGCCTACCAAGAC